ACCTTAGCTTCCAAGAGCTGGTATTATAGATACCTGAGCCCTGCCTTGTGTATTATCTGCTTTTTCAAAAAAATATTTTTATTTATTATTTTTATATGTATGAGTATATTGCCTGTATGATGTAAGTGCACCCATGTTGTGCAATGCCCACAGAGGCAGAGGTCAGAAGAGGACATCAGATCTGGAATTGGAATTAAGGATGGCTGTTAGTTGCCATGTGGGTGCTGGGAATTGAACCCTCGGCAAGAGCACTCAGTGCTCTAAACCACCGAATCATCTCTCCAGCCTGCCTTATCTATTTTTTAACTTGAACACAATAACTCATAAAGTTGAAAAAGTTAAAAAAAAGCAAGTGAATTTTTAACATATTAGCATTTTTATAGTTTAAGATTTAATGGAACAGCTCGAATACATATAGGCTCACACATTGAAGCATAGGATTTCTTGAAAGAACAAAATAAAAATGCAAATATACTTATTCTGTGTCAATTACTAAGACTTGTGAGGAAGTTAGCTCTATCTACTCAGTGGTAAAGCACTTGCCTGGCACGTATGAGGCTGGACAGTGTTTTCTCCTAAAGTACCAAATATAACTAAACATTAAACGCTGATTGTTTAATCTTATTTTATTTAGTATTAACATAAAATTTAAAGGCCAAATTAAAATTAAAACCTATATTAAAATCATACTAAATATGAAAGACAATGGTAATGACACATTGACAAGAATTTACTCTTAATATAGGGTTAATTTTTTTCTTATTTAAAATAAATTGTGAATTGTAATAACTATTTTATGATAATTTTCTATTAAATAATCAATGAGACTCATTGCATTGAATTACAAAACAATGATTAAACATGGATACATTTTAAAGTTATAATTATAAAATCAGAAAAGAGCATCACTGAATGCAAAAAGACAAGAACGCTGTTATAGGATCCCTAGTAGAGCTGGTTTTTCTTATGATACTTACTTTGCTGCAACCTAATAACTGACAAGAAGCAACCAAAGGGAGGGGGAAAGGTTTATTTTGGCTCATGGTTCAGGGATAATATCATCCATCGGAGTTGGGAAAGGCGTGGAGGCAGGCAGCTGCTTGTTCACATCCTATGGGATCAGGAGATGGAGCAAAGGAGTATTGATGCTCATCTATTCAGTCTTAGACAAAGGCTGAATTATGGGAGATGAAAGAGTACATCACTACCCAGTCATCCAAGGTTAGCTAGTCAGAGCTTCTGTTTGGTATGATGGGAAGAGAGAAAAAGAACAAACAAAACCCAACTTGTAACTAGCAGGGAAACAGGCATAGTTTGTTTGCCAAATAGCAACACATAAAAAGTTCTAGGTAAGAATGATTTTCTAGGTAAGAATGAATAATTTTCTGATGTTGTTACTTAAGAATGAAGTAGTCTTGATGAAAAAGACAATATTAACATTTCCTTTTCTTCCAGGAACTTAAAATCAGTCTAATCTTTAAAAAGATAAGGAACACACACAAAATAAATATTACTGGGTAAGAGTCCAGTCTAGTTCTAATAATAACATTTATTGCTATATTTTATATACAATTCTGAATTTTAATCCTTATAGGAATCTTTCAAAAGAACTAAGGGTATTATTTTCATTTTATACTTGAGGGAATCTAAGGTTTAAAGATGTGGTCCTGTGACCGCACTTTGAGAGCCAGCAGTCTAAAGAGTGGTTTAATGTGTCTGATTGAGACACAGGCCTAATATATCATACTAGAGTGAAACAAGGAGGGATTTAAAATATCTGTGACTTGCAATCAAACTCTCTCTCTCTCTCTCTCTCTCTCTCTCTCTCTCTCAATGGAAACAATATGATTGTCTAGTTTAAAAGCAAGGAAGTCCACTTTTATAGTAAAAGAAAATTCATGCAGTTTTGGGAAAAATTGGGCCAATTTAGAGCCAGAAGTAGATTTAATCCAAGCTATGCATTCTGTAGAAAGGAAGCAATCCTGGAGATGAAATAATAGCTTAAAGGCAAGTGAAACACCATGGTCAAACCTCAGTGTTCTGTCTGCTGAACAAACACTCCTATTTAATGTACCTGATTACTGCTAGCCTGTTGAAAGGAGATAATCACAGACCTAAATAGGAATGGAATCCATGCTGACCTATGTCAGAGTGGTGCTGCCTGCCCCAAACACTCAAGACTCACTGGCAAAGTAGGGGAAGGCATTCACAGTCCCTCACTATGCAGGCTCTACAAGCAGACAAGAGAATTTAACCCTACACAGAGATGGCTTCAGTGATTAGTTTAACACATACGCCTTCTTCCTTTATTTACATAGCTCTCTACTCAGTGTGTCTGGAGAAAGCTTCTGCCATGGAATGCTGTCCTTTAAGCATCACATTTTTAACAAAGCATCTCTGACTACTCACAAAAGACCCTCAAGATCATCCTGTTGATGTTCCCTCAAAGAAGGAGGGGTGGAAAGGGTCCTTAGACCTTCACTTGGGATTCCAGCCACTTCTACCTACAACTTCTTTCCAGCTGTATGTAATTCTTCCCCAGCTGCCTATAGTCTCATGCTCTCTGGAAGTGAAGTATATACAGCACTGAAGGTTAACAGAAGTGGGGAACTCCATCTATGCAGCTCTGAGGAAGTTGTTTATGCTGGGGTGAGACTTTTTGGTGATACAGATGTTTGGGGTCACCTATACTCCTGTAACTCCTCACCCATGTTCCTGTAAGTAAATCCAATAAACTCATTTTTCAAAAAGCTAGATTTGGGTGGAAATGTTACTTTGGTGCCTTACCAGAGGGGAGCAAATGCTTGTTCATGTCTCCTCAGGAAAAGTTAATACAGCACCTTCTTGAACAAGTGAAGTGCTGATCAATATGGACATGAGTATTCTTAGCTTTTCTGTTCCATTTTTGCAATTCAATGCCAAAGCTGTCTTTTACTGTTGTGTATCTTAGGTTGGCCAGTTTTCTCTAGATTTCTCTCTAAAGTAAAAAGGCTTTTAATATATGATTCTGCATTATTACAGACCACAAGGGAAAGTGTTGGAATTATTTCAAGGCAAAGGCAAGGTGTGAAATCAAGCACCCGAATTCTCCCTAGAGTCCAGTCTCTTTTTTAGACATGTTCTGAGTTTGGTGAAATGGAAGCCTGACTGTTCCCGTAGCAGGTATGAGATCATTGTGGGGAAAGAACTGGCTGCTTCCAAGGAGGAGCCTCCACTAGTGCTCTGCTTGTTTTAAGAGTCTGTGGAAAGAGAGGTATGTGTATTAAAAAACCAACCTTACCCAAAGAGGGCAGCCTTTGTCCTTGGCTACTGTGGGGTGATCTTCAGATCCCTGGAATGCCCTGCCTGATAGAAGTGCCTGGATATTTTAGCCACCAGGCAGTCCTACAACAAACAGTTTATGATGGGGGTTTTGAGCCATGCTGTGTCAGGTGTCATGGAAGAATGGGAGCCTTCACAAAGTAAAGCCATGAGTGCCATGTGAGACTGAACTCCAAACTCTGAACTGCAGTAACTCAAGTTAGCCACACTCTGTATACTGTCACATGTCCTTGGGAGGAGGTGAGGATGCACAGTGACTCTGAGGGATGACGAGATGCTCTCTGTTGGGATGCCCCCTGGACTCTGCCCTGTGTCTCTCCCCTTGGCTCATTTTAATTGTTCTTTTGACTGTGATAGAATCAATCATAAGCATTGCACTTCCCTGTGTTCCACTGAATCTTGCTCATCAACAATAAAATGTGAGGGTGTCACAGGACCGTAGCCAGCTTATCGGAAGTGAGGGTGGCTGGGGGGATTCCTAACCTTAAAGTTAGTGTAAGCGAGAGAGCAGTTGGTGGGGACTGCTCCTTCTGTCTTTCCAGTTTGGTTAAACTCATCACAGGGTAAACTGTCGAGGGGATGAGAAAAATATTTTAGGTCCCAGTCATAATGGGGAAGTCTAAGAAGCTGTGAAGGGGCTTGAGTTGCGGAAAAGCTATTATTAGGGTGTGTCACAAATCTGACAAAGAAAATTCAGACCCATTTGTAAGACTCATTTCAGACCCTCTTAAGAGTCCTGAAGGCCTTCAGAAAATTACTTTAGGCCTTAGTCAAAAGGAGCTAAATGAGTTAAAAGTTATGCTTAATGTGTAATCATCTTAAAGTGACCATATTCCAATGTGAAAAAAACCCCATCTTGATTGTTCAGGAAAATCTGCTTAAACAAAATCAATTATACTGGAGAAGTTTTCTCCCTCAGATTATAAAGATATTTCCTTAAGTTTTTATATTTCTGCATTTCTATATCCATAATGTTGATTTGCAATCCAAGTTATCTTTATTTTTTTGGTGTGTGTTCACAAGCAAACATTAAACAGTCCAGGTGGCTAAGAAGCATTTACAGGGCCTGGCATAGTGGTTCACGCCTTTAATTCCAGCATTGGGAAGGCAGAAGCAGGTGGATCCCTGTAAGTTCCAGACCAGCCAGGGCTGTGTAGTGAGATTGCACAACCCCTTCACACGAGAGAAATACAGTTCCCAAATTTCGATTTCTCTTGAAATTTCTCATCACCTCCTAATCTGTCTATCAGTCTCTCCTTCACTCCCCCGAGTCATGGGCTTAAAAACATTTCAGAATATAACATTTAAAACTGGCACTTTAGCATCCGACCTGGTGGTGCAAGTTTATAATCCCAACTACTCAGGAGACTGAAGCAGCAGGATCGCAAATTCAAGGACTGCCAGGACCATAAAGTGAGATCAAGGCTAGTCTGGGGCAATTTAATGAGAACCTGTCTCAAGGTAAAAAGGTCAAAAGGGGGCTGGGATATAAGTGGAACAGTACTGGCTTGACAATTGTGAGGACCTCTAGGGTAAATCCCCAGTATGGAAAGTAAAAAAGAATTAAAATGTGGGTGTGTTTTCCTAAGTGAGGCGGAGGGTGAATGAGTGTCTCGGAGGCAGGGCGGGGTGCTTGGGAAGCTCAGGCTTCGGGGTCAGCGCCGCCGCCGGTTTCCCACCTGGATGAGGATGGATCCGATGGGGTCGGTGTTCTCCGTCTCCCGTGCCATGGCTATAGCAGGACAGGGACACCTCCCGGCCGAAGTGCGGCTTCCAGGTGCGACCGTTCCCATGGCAACGCGCGCGGCCGGCCGGCCCCATACCCGGAACAGAAGATGGTCGGGCCGCGCGCCACCCAGCGCGCGCTCCCGGGCTCGACTCCGCCGCGCGCAGGCGCAGTGGTGCCGCCCAAGGCGGAAGCGAAGAGGCGTCGGCCTGGAACCCTTTCTGCAGCGCAGCGATGGCTGCGGGCGTCCCCTGCGCGCTGGTCACCAGCTGCTCCGCCACCTTCACCGGGGACCGGCTGGTGCAACGTGAGTAGCGGGGCGCCCTGGCCGACCTGCAAGGCCCAGAGCACGGGGCGACTGGCCCAGCACCGCGGCCTCCCTCAGTCCCTGTTCCCGGCTGGGCCCTGGTGCCAGCTCCTCCCCAGGTGTCTGCCCCTGACGCCTGAACCCCTTCCTGTGCAATGTTGGGTGCAGTCTACCCTCTAACCCCAGGGGTGGACTCAATATGTGCCTGAAAGCCCTGCAAATTGTGCCTTGGCGCGCCTGAAAGGTGCTGGAGTTGCGTGTGTTGTGATTTGGGGTGATGCCCCCTGTTCCTGGGGTAGTATGTTTCCTCTGTTCCCGGTT